AAAATAAACGCCTCTGCTTCTTACTGCTTCCTCTGACAGCTGGGCCAGCTGCTGGCTGGGCTCCACATTGTCCTGTGGTCTCCTTGCAGGAAACTGACGATTCTTCACTGGCCCCCTTTTGATCAGCCCCTTCTTGTCTGTCTAGCCTCACCTGACGACTGGAAGCTGTGCTCTTGCAACTGTTATTTTGTTAAGATTGTTTCTGAGTCTTTGTCTCTTTCGCTAGACAGTAAGATCTGCATCCCATACATTTCTAACTTCAAAGGTAACCATCACCATAACAGACATTTTTTAAAAAGCTTAAATCTCTCTCTCTCTCTCTCTCTCACACACACAGTTAAATTACTTCATCCTGGTACATGTTGAGACTATTCTAATCTCATTCACAACGGGAAAAGGAATAGAAATGGTAAAACCCTAGTTTAGACGATGTCTCAGAAGTTGACTAATTAATCTCATTTTATACAAGTGGAAAGCCCCAGCCAGTTTGGGATCACAGTTTGATGGACTTTGTCCTAGACGAATCAGACAATTGTAGGGGAAAAAAACAAAAAAAACAAAAAAACTCCACCTGAGGCTGAGCTATTTTGCAGCCAGCCAGTTAATGAAACTAGACTGACTGGAGAGTTGCTTTATTTTTAATACTCCACGCGGCTCCCACTGGTGCACAGTGGTCCCTCTTTGGCAGGGCTTATGGTGTGAGCCTAACTTGAAAAGTGCAACTCACCCGAAAGGGGAAAGAAAGAAAAAAGCCCATCAAAATCGGAGTTAGAGGTCTGAACTCCCATTCTGAGGATCTTAATTCAGGCTCACTTTCCCATCGTGGCTTGTCTAGGGAAGAAAAGAAATTTTAAAAAGCAAAATGTCACTTGTCATCTAAATAAGATGCAGTTTGCTCGCTAGAAGTAGCCTAGGATAGCAATAGCAGGTGAACAGCTGAGAAGGGATCTTACTGAGCGCCCGGATAGCTCAGTCGGTAGAGCATCAGACTTTTAATCTGAGGGTCCAGGGTTCAAGTCCCTGTTCGGGCGGCTCTTTCTTTTCCTCCTTAGCTGGAGGCTTTCATTTATGCTTTCGATTCGATCCCTCCCCACAGCAGAAACGCTGATTCTCACATTTTATTCTTAATTCAGTGTAAATTTTCATTTTTCATTGGTTTCCACATGTGTTAGACATTCTCAAGGTAAACTAGTGGCTAGTAAAGTCATTGACCTGCTGGATGGTGCCTAGATTTTGCCCAGGGTTTTCCGGCGAGGAGTTTTTCAGATTGCCAACACTGGAGAAATGTGGGTGCCAGGATAAAGTTAAAATGAAATCCCCTCACACACGGCAATGGGGGTATCACGCCAAGTACTTGTAAAAACGGAAAGATTTATATGATATGAAGAGGAACCAAGGTACTTGTTATCTAGCTATGTTTGGTTAAGGCTCCCATAACGCACGCGTTATCTCAAAGATTGCTTTACGAACAAACTTTATTTATTAAAAATGTAATGATGAAAAAAAAAGGACCGCCCGAACAGGGACTTGAACCCTGGACCCTCAGATTAAAAGTCTGATGCTCTACCGACTGAGCTATCCGGGCACTGCGTTAGCTCCTCCTGCACCCTCGGCTGTTCAGCCTCATTCTGTGAAGCCGCTGGAAGCTCGCACCCACGGGAAATTCACTGGCGGCCGGGACCCTGGACTTCAGGCCGGAGCCGCCGCTTCCACCCGTGAATTCAGAGCTCGGAGCTCGTTGCGGGGGCGCCGAGCAGTGTAGGGTAGTCTCCTTTGATCTGGGGTCCACGCAGGAGCAAGGTTACGAGCACCGTGAGGCAACTTACCGAGGCGTTGCTGACCACGGAGAACTCGGTGGTCAGCCAAGCTCCAGCTGCCCAGAGACAGAACAACAGAGTCAGTCTCCGTGAAGCTGAGCTCCGGCTGGCCTTGGCCGAACGCAGGGGCGGGGCGGGGGTTCCGCAGCTCTGCCAGGAACCCCAAACCCCAGTGGAGTTGCTGCGACGACCTCAGGGACAGAGAAGGAAAGGACAGCCCGGGAGACACTGAGAGGGACCCCAGTGGGTCTCTTGATCGGCTGGTATCTTGCCGAATACCCGCCCCCGAAACTGGTTTACACTCACAGCACCTCTCGGTTTGGGCTAGCCGTGCCAGCTGAGGCTGGTGGCTACTCCATTGGACCGTGTGATTCAGTACTATAGCCAGTAATGTACCTAGTGCCCAGCTCTTCAACGTGGGCTCTGCCCAGCGTGTCCTCTAACTTCTCACACTTCTATGGTGCTGTGCTTGTTCAAATGGCTTCTCCCATCCCTGCCTTTGTAAATCCTATTAAAGATTTCACTCAAAGACTCCTTTTACAAAACCTTTCATAATTCTGTTAAACAGGTAGGAAAAGGTGATTAGAGAGCTACAGACTCGCATTTACTTTGTAGATTCTGTACAGAACCATGGCATTTCTCATTTGGGAAAAAAAGGAAATTGAATTTGTGCATTACATACAACATGCCCAAAAATGTTTTCTAAAGGAGTGAGGGGCCCACATTTTGAAAAAAAAAACCTTTGAGATTTTCGAAAAAATTATGCAAGAATATTTTGGGCACCCAAAGATAGGGAATCGTCTCCTTAATAATAATATGCCAAAAAACCAATAACATTATTGTTACATTTCAGTTTGTTAAAGAAAAACTGATGCTCATCAGAAGGCAAGACTTAGAACAAGTGAAAGCTGTCAAGATGGTGTTTGTGATACATAGAATCAGAAAGGATTAGTATGGGGATTCTAGAAAAAGCTGCTGTGAACCAAAAAGGAAAGACCAACAAACCAATAGAGGAATGGGCAACATACATGAATAGGCAACTCTGGATGAGGAACTTGAAGCCAGTAAGTGTGAAAAGATGCCCAACTTCATCAATAGTCACAGATATTGCCAGAGGCCAGTTCCAGCAGAGTTCAGAGCTCAAGAAGGGTGTGTGGTGTTGGCAAAAAAAAAAAAAAAAGACATGGACACCGTCACTTGGTGCCCTCTTGTAACAGCTCAAGAAAAAGCTGTCCTTTTTATTTACTCAGACACATCACAAGCCTCTGCATAATTGTTTGATTGCTCTATTTTTACTTCATGACTAAGTGGGTATGCACAGATGTTTGGTTATTTTATTTTTTTACTTAATGGTCAACCAGGTGCTCTTAAAGATAACCCTGTAGGTTACCTTAATCAGTTTCTTCAAATCAAGCTATTATTCATTCTTCAGTAGTAGCCATCAGGTGACAACCAGGACTCCAAGGCCAAGGTACATGTGATGACCTGCTAATCAGTAATACATTCCTACTACATTTCTATTTCCACAACTTGCCCATCATTTAATGGGAGAAATATGATACAAGGGAAAAAATGTGAAATTCAAGACAAAAATTTCAAATATTAAATCCCCATGCAATTACAGGCTCTATAACCCCATTAACAATGAAACAACAATCGAAAGCATGTCTCTATGACATGAATAAAATCACCCTATAATTTCTTTAGTTAAAAAATTATGAAAGCAGCTAAAACAGCTACATTTTCTATGCTCTAAAAAAGTTGCAAGGACAAGCTAACCTTTATGATCACAGCAACTATATATTCTTTGCCATAGCATACTCCCATCACTTCCATTAGTTTGTAAGATTCTTATCAAGCCATTTCCCAGAAGACATGCTACATGTCTGGGCCAGATTCCAGGGCAATGGGTAGGCACAGAATAAGGTGTCTAGAAACGGCATGGGCTTAACTGTACTCCTGTGCATAGTCAAAGGCCCACTCACCAAGACATTATCAGTAACATTAACTCCCAAGCTCACATCAGTTACAAAACCCATCTCACAGGGGCAAACAACAATGTCTCAATAGATTACAGAATTCTTAGCAGATGGTTGAGTGTCCATGCAAAAAGGGTGTGAGACTGCGGTCAAGGTGGTCAGAGAGGCATCCTCTGGGTCCTGCCAAACAGCTGGAAGCTCCTCTGGGCCTTGTCAAACAGAGGAGCTGTTCCCTTCACACCTTCGTGTCATCAATCGTTGGTAAAGCACCAGTAATTCGGTCATTCCTCTGCTACCAGTCTGGTGTTTATTGCTTCAAGTTCAGAATCCACGTGGCCCTTACAGGGGGTCTTTTCAAAAATATGTCTTACCTTTCTTTGTGCCAAAACCTAAATCCTGTTCAGACAGGTTACAAAGCATTCATACAAGCTTGTTTTGGTTCTCCCCCCCCCCCCCCGCGTGGTTTTTAATAATATGCACTTTTCATGAATTTTGGAAGACCTCTCTCATACCATTCTTTAAGAGAGTGGGTGGGGAGAAGGCAAGTGTATTCTTTCATTTTCCTGTGTGTATAAGGTAGTTCGTTAATTTGTTTTTCTAGGAAAGCCGCAGGTGAATAATATCGGCTTCTAATTCTTTTAAATACAGAATAAGCTACAGGAACATCGTCTAATAGTTCTTTCTTTCTTTTCTTTCTTTAAAAAAATTTTTTTATTACAAGATTTGCTTCTTTTTACTGCAAAGGCAGATCAGATTTACAGAGAGGAGACACAAAGAGAAAGATGCCCCGACCGCTGGTTCACTCCTCAAGCGGCTGCAATGGCTGGAACTGATCTGAAATCAGGAGCCAGGAGTTTTCTCCAGGTTTCCCACGCGCGTACATAGTTCCAAGGCTCTGGGCTTTCCGTCTCTGCTTCCCCAGGACACAAACAGGGAGCTGGATGGGAAGTTGCAGGTGGACTCCCACCACGCTCTCGGTTTCCGCCCGGCTCTGCAGTCCGACTTCCTGGGACACGTGTGTCTCTAAATCCCACACGTCAAGACCGACTGTCGTCTACCGCCCGAGACTCTCTTGCCCGACGAGGAGCTACTCAATGGTCTGAAGAGCTTGGCCTCTCTAGCCCTTCCCCGGGGTTCGTCGATGGTTTCCTCAGGCTTCACCGGAAACTCTGCGGGGAGAGAGGTACAGGAGGCCGGAAGTGCGCCACCCCTCGCCGTTTGAAAATGCTGCCCAGGCCGTAGGGCCTACGGCGGCCACCTTACCCTCCGGCCGGCGGGGGAAGCGACTCATGGAGCGGTCGTGAGGTGTGCCTGGGGGTTTGGGTGGTTGGCTGGGTGCCGGAGGCTGCGGGGAGCGGGGCGGCCGGCTGTGCGGAGCTCGGAGCGGGGCGGCCGGCGGGAGGAGCTTCGCGCGTGGGATGGCGCCTGGCGGAAGAGGGAAGGATTGGGGGGCGAGGGCTCGCGGGAGTCAGGGGTGGAGGTTCCTTGAGGCGATGTGGTCGAGGATCTGCAGTGGCGAGAGGCGGGTCGGCCGTTGGACGGGGTGCGGCGCGGTTTTGGGGTGCAGGGCGCCCCGGGGGAACCGTGCGAGGCCGGCCGGAGCGTGACATCCAGTGTGGCTGCAGACTTTAACGTGGACTCTTTGAGTCTGCGAAGCCCTCGCTTCCCGGGCGCTCGAGTGTGTGTTTGGCGAATGCCCTTTTGGGGAGGTCACTTTCGGACCTTTGTGGGGGTGCGTATTGGGATCAAGCGCTTCCCGCTCGCATCCCAGGAATTCTTGTACACCCGGAAAAACTGAAAACCCACCTCGGAGAAAGTGCCTTAAGCTCTTCTGAGCCTTGGAGTCTTCGGCCGGTGGAACCTGGCGTGTTGAGTGTTCATTATATTTAAGTTCCCTGAGAAACGTAACTTAATTTAAAAGGATTTCGTACTATTATAGTGTGTCAAAGCGTTGACCAGGATAGAAGGTGTTAGAGTGGTGTTAAGTAGCGCGTGCCTATTGATTGGAAAAGGTGTGCGAACATCCCTGGCTGGCCTGCAGCGTTCTCGGTGGTTCTGTACTTTCTCATCTGTTCTCGGCAAACTCAAGTTTCTATTATGAAGGACTTTATTTTTTCTTTTTATGCCGCGCATGAAAACGCTGCGCCGTTGGTTTACTCCCCCAAGGTCTGGCAGCCGTTGGGACTGAGCTGGCTCTGTCCTGGCCTCCCACGTGGGTGGTGACCGCCAGACGGCTCCCCTGCGCCCCCCACGTTTTTAAACAGGGGAATGATTTTGAAGTTATTGTTTGATACGTTAAGTTTTTCAAATAACAGCAACATAAGTGGCTTTCCATGCGGTATTGACCCCAAATACGGCAGCAACCTCAATTCTTGTCTCGCAGAAAAGAAGAATTTTCGTGCGGACACAGTTTAGTTTTAAAGCAAGATTTATTAGAAAAGTTGAGAAAGGAGACTCCTGTCCTAGTGACAGGAGGGGGCTTTGAGATAGAAAGGACACGTGCATGGGGGGTGGTGTTGTGGTCTTTTAAAGCTTTATTTCAGAAAGGGATTTTCCAAGGACAAAGGAATTTCCTGGTCCCCAGGTATCTGGTTTTTGGGGCAAAAGACCAGAGATATGCAAGACATAGGACATTCCAGGCCTTAGGCAGATGTGTATTACTTCCTCCTGCCCTTGTTTCAATAAGGATATCAGCGTGAGGCCCTCCCACACAATGGCCGATACTTCAGGTGGGAAATTGACATGCTAATTAATAGCACCCTTGTCCCTTGGAAGAAATGTGCTCTGGTGAATCTAAGACACGGTGAGGAAATTACCTTTTATATAAAGAAATGACTTGGGGACCCGAATGCCCTAACTGCCTACTACCCAGTCTAACTCCTCTCACAGTATGATTTTTTTTTAAAGTATATGTATATATTTGCCTAATATTGGATTGCAGGATCGTACCGAAGTTTCTTGGTGGACTTAGGTTATGTCCTGGCTTGTATTGCAGATTAAACTCTGGAATTGTGGTAGGGTAGGCAGCTAGTTCAGGCTCAAGAGTTTGGAAGAGACACTCCCCCCCACCCTCACCTAGGCGTTCCCTCCTTCCCGCCTGTGATGCTCACCTATCATCACCTAGAACCTGAGACCAGAGGTGTTGCGTTGTTGTGTGACCACTCCCCTCCCAAGCCCCTATAAAGGCCCATGATCGGGAGGGACTCACTCTCAGTCCTGTGCTTCAGTGGCTCTGACACTCCCACTCTTGGCCTCCCCAGTACCTGCTTGCTCTCTGGCTTCCTGCGGACAGACAGTCCCCAAGCATGGCCCCTGTGTGTCTGTATTCCTCAAAATTCTGTTCACTGCTCGGTGGAACAGTGAAGGCAGCAATGCTGAGATGCTCTGTATTTCTAATTCGAGCGCTATTGGGAATTCCAGGAGAGTTGAGGCTTAGCAGTGATGGAATGTGGGCAGAGAAGCCAGGGAAGGTGAATGCAGCTTTGTAAGAGTGCCCAGGCTGTCGGCTGCATGTCTCTTAGGATAATTTATATTGCTGGGGAAGTTGGGACACAGGTTTTTGGTTTAACGGATGGACTTCAGGGTAATGACTGTTTGGTCCTCTTGGGGTTTCGGTTGACTGAATTGCCATATGGACTTGTGATTTGGTATTTCTAGTGGGCCCTGTTATCACTAAACTTGGCTAGTGAAGACTCTTTAATAAACCCTAGACTTGTCTAGCATGATCCCGCTTGCATCCCGCAACAGAATGGCTGCTTGCTGCTTGTTTCACTTTTTTTTGGTGTGGGGCAGATCTGGTTAAGAACTCCATCAACATCCGAAGAGTAGCTTCCTTTTTGAAAAAAAAAAAGTTTTCTTTATTCTTACAGACTTGAAGACTAGAATTAGTGCTTAATAGAATTAATGTTCAAGATCTTAGACTTGAAAAAATTGGTAAGAATGATTGGTTCTGCTAAATTCTGATGAAAATATTTTAGTTTTAAAATCACAGTTGTTGCCAGAGGTAGAGAGTTGAAGATGAGGTTTAGGAGTCTTTGGCCATGATGCAGATCCCATAGCTCCAAGCTTCCCGATTGTGGAAAAGAATCACATTATAGAAATTATTTGAACCGGGATGCAAACAATGTCTACATACTGTATAAGGCTCTTTTTTTTAAGAGTTATTTATTTTGATTGCAAAGTCAGATTTATAGAGAGGAGGAGAGACAGAGAAAGATATTCCATCTGATGATTCACTCCCCAAATGGCCACAATGGCCAGAGCTGAGTTGATCCAAAGCCAGGTGCCAGGAGCTTCTTCATGATCTCCCACACAGGTACAGGGTCCCAAAGCTTTGGGCCGTCCTCGACTGCTTTCCCAGGCCACAAGCAGGGAGCTGGATGGGAAGTGGAGCTGCCAGGATTAGGACCATATGGGATCCTGGCGCAATCAAGGCTAGAACAATTTTAGCTTCTGCGCCACCACGCTGGCCTCCCTCCCCCTCTTTTTTAAATAGTGATGGAACAATCTTTTCACTTCATGTCCTGTAGAATCTCATACAATCTGGATTTGGCTAATTGCCTCTGTTGATTTTTTTCACTTGAAAGGCAAATAAAGGGGGAAATCTCCCGCCAATTCATTGCTCAAATGAGCCAGATGAAAGCCAAGAGCCTGGAGCTTAGTTCAGTTGGAACCTGTGGGTGGAGGGGCCCACGGGCTTGCCCCCCCACCCTTGCTTGTTGCTTCCGGCAGCCTCTCACTGCCTCCCACTGCCTCCCGCACACACAAACGTTTTGATGGGGGAGGCAGGTGGTCCAAGCTCTTAACTTCTATGCCAGGCGCACCTGCCCCGTTGCTCCCTTTTAGGTTTCCTTCTTCCTCTACCCTGTATTTCACTATACACTTGTTAGTAGTTTGCTCTAGGATTTTTCCCCCAGATTTTGATCAACAGTAGCTAGATGGTGCTTGTTACTTCCTGTTTGGTTCGTATCAGGAAGTATGTTATCTGAGCGAGCTTGTATTGTTGAGTGGGGTGGGTTAATGCTCTGTGGTGTCCCATGTATTTTTCAGTCTTCCCCTTTCCCTATGGTGTTTTGGCTTCTGTTGATGTCTGTTGAGGTGACATTTAACTTGAGCCTTGCAGGGTTGGGTTGGATCAGGATTATCTGGAAGTCACAGTGCTGTAAATGAAGAACCAGGGGTGCAGAGACCCTGAAGTAGGAAGCAGAGCTGCTGAGAAATTGAGAGCCAGGTGGCTGAGACCCAGTGAGCACGGAGGAGGACGGTGAGGACAGGCCAGGAGTTGGTCTTCAGAGCCAGAGGGAGGAGCCAGCTGTTGAGCTCCTGGACACTGCTGCGGGCTTTTTGCTTTGGTTTAATCCTCCTAGCTTCAGTGTTGAAATTGGAGTGGACTAGAAAGATCAGTTTAGAGTATGTTGCAGTGATCCGGGCAAAAAATCACACTTGTTTGTTTGGGGCATGTGGTCTTGCAGATGGAGAAGAGAGGAGGTATTGCAAGATTGAGGAGTTAACATCTACCAGGTTTGGTGATGGGTGTGATAACCCAGAGGAGGGAGGGATTGTGGGTGACTGACTTTCTGCTTAAGGAACTGAGTGTTATTGGCAGCTACAGTGGGAAGGATTTTGGATTTGACACGTTATTTGGCTTCTTTAAGCTTCCATTTTCTGCTTAAATAGTATGTAACAATTGAATACAACATTGTTATGTTCAAGAGAGTCCCAAATGGAAAAGGGAGAAAATACTACTCTGAATTCCCAGGTTATAAAATTCATTGCACAGCTTATTCTTTCCCGTGTTTTCCTACTTAAAAACCCACTCATCTCGGTCTCCACTCCCTTTGCCTTGCAATGAAAAGTAATTTTTTCCTGCTCTGAGCCTTTGTGGCCTTTTATGATCACAGCACTTTGTACTTGGTGTTAAAGAACCGCTTATTGTAGTGTAAATCCTTCCAGGCTGCCGTGTGGTCAGTTCCTGTTCTTACCAAGGTGCTGACTGCAGGACTGGCTCCCTTCCCCAAGGTCACCCTGATAGGGGCTGGTGGGGAGGGAAGACAGGCTGGGAGGGCAAAATCCTGGCTGGAGGTGCCTGTTGGAATACAGCTATAGTTTCTCTTCTGCTTCATTGCCTTTTCTCTCCAGTGGCTGTGACATAGCATCCTAGTCAGGTTCTCCCCAAGTGTGAATGAGGGCATTACAGAAGCCCCTATCACAAGGAGTTGACAAAAAAAGCAAGCAAATGATAGGTTTGCTTGTTAAAGTGTCTTCCTGAGGAAGAAGGTGTGAAATCCTGGCCTGTGGAATGGGGG